TTCCGCTCCCTATAGGCGATCGGAACAACTTTTTGTCAGCTTCGGTAACCGCACCAAGGGGTTTCCGGTTACGAAGCAAAGACTCTCTAGATGGATAGTAGACGCCATCTCGCTAGCATACTCTTCCTTGGCCTCCAATGCCCCATTGGAGTATGGGCCCACTCGGCTAGAGGCATCGCCTCATCGTGGGCATGGTCCAGTGGTGTGTCCATTGCGGATATTTGTGAGGTGGCCGGCTGGGCCTCGCCTTCCACATTTGCAAGGTTTTATAACCTGGAAATCCCGGCCTTACAGGCCAGGATCCTTTCGCTTGAAATGGCACGTGCTGCGTAAACAGACATGACAGAGAGCCCTTGGCCGTGCTGCGCCCAAGTTCTCTGGTATTGTTCACCTGTTAACTCTCGACCCCTGGGTGTCGAAGTTACGGGTATACTCTGGAACGAATAACCAGGCCGGGTGTGACCTAGAAAGCTCAGCCCGCTTAGCCTTGGGTTATTGTTGACTTCTCTTTAAGCATTGGTTGCTTATGGAAGTTATACCTTTAGTCGTTCCACTACATTAGCACAGCGTGATTGGACTGTTCCCATATACGTCTTAAGCGAGACGCAGTACGAATGAAGTATCGAAAGGGAACTTACTCGGTTACTAACGTAACCTCAGTTCCCTGAGATACGGGAATGAGTACTACGTTGCTAGCCGTGCTATGTAGCTGCACGACTCAGTCGTCGCTTCAGTCGAAGTAAACCTGAGAATCCTGTGGCGAGTGCCCGCTTATATAGCCAGATGCCCCACCCATTCTGGTGGGCTTTGGCGGGATTCGTCGCCATAGGCTCATGCCGCTCCGCTGCCGCGCCATTGGTTCGTTTTTAAAGCCCTGCATGAACCAATGGCCGTGCAGTTTCACTGCGTGAATGAAAAAGGCTTTTTCCCCATATGCGTCTTAAGCAAGACGCAGTACTCGTTCCCGTATCTCAGGGAACCGAGGTTACGTTAGTAACCAAGTACGTTATTCACTGTAAGTATACGTTCTTTTTCACTTCCAAAAACGGTATACTGCTGTAACATTACATGTAATGTCCAATACAGTTTTTCACCGTATATAGTAGGGGAACTTACCGTTAACCATTTAACAGGTCTTTAATGTAGCATTTTTACAGTCTTTTACCGTTAAAATCATGGGCATTTTTTACAGTTTACATATTTATTTCTAACCAAACAACATCAGCACAACATCAATATTACTCTTAAAAGTTTTCAAACAAAATAAAGTCATTTTACTTGCTTTTTAATTTGCTTTTACTTGCAGATTAAAAAAGTGATCAGTTTTTCATGATGCAATGGTTCGTCAATAGGTGACATATCCATGTTTATCAACAAAATTCAGCCCAAAGTGTGTGAGATATATTTGACAAAAGTTTTTGACACTAATATAACTAAGTATTTTTTGGCGCCTAATGGTGCTCCATACATTCTGGGTCCAAAATGACCTGAACACAAAACATTGTTTGTTTGTTTGTTCATTCATTCATTCAAATGGTTATATCTCCTAAAAATATTTTAACAGTTATATCATTCAAAGGTTTGTTCCCTTGCTAAAAACTAATCTTTTTTTTTTTTTTTTTATGTATGTATGCATCTCTTCCGGGTCAAAATGGACCCGTGTGGGTTTATGAGGGTCAGTGCTGTAAATGATGCCTGGAAGCTCAGTCCTGATGAACGCCAGTGCTGTAACTGCATCTGAACGCTGTTTTTCAGATGGGAGGGATGGAGTCTGTGATCACGGGACTCATCGACGAATTCAAGTTCCTGCACAAACATCGTGAGCTCTTCACGCTCTTCATCGTGGTCTCCACGTTCCTCATCTCTCTCATCTGTGTCACGAACGTACGTGAGACACAAGCGCTCCTCTAATGAGCTTCCATCTGATTATGAAGAGTGTCTCGTGTGGGGTCTTGATCCGTTCTCGTCTCTCTGTCTCTCTGCAGGGGGGCATCTATGTGTTCACGCTGTTGGACCACTTCGCCGCCGGGACATCGATTCTGTTTGGAGTGCTGATTGAGGCCGTCGGCATCGCCTGGTTCTACGGTGAGGAGGAGTGCTGCTCCTGCATGTGCAGTGAAGCTGATGTGGCATTAGGAGCTGATGGTCTATCAGACGGCTGTGCTCCGGGGCCGCTGGCACTCATTAGGCTCCCAGAACTTGGATATCAGCCGAGGAACGCTCTTCACACAAACACCTATCAATCTGGCATTCGATTCTAACTCCAGATTGCCCATTTTGATCTAGTTTTGATCTAGCAAAGAAAATGTTTCTTATTTTCATTTAGTTTAATTTGATGTGCTAAAATAACTCAAACTAAAATTGAAAAAAAAAAATAATAATAATAATAATACAAACTGAAAAACTAACTTTAAAAAACAATGACTTGTAAAAACAACAAAACATATTTAAATATTTATTTCTAACAAAACAACATCAGTATTACTCTGAAAAGTTTGAAAACAAAATAAAATAAATTTTACTTGCGTTTTAATTTACTTTTACTTGCAGATGAAAAAAGTGATCAGTTTTTCATGCTGCAATGGTTCGTCAATAGGTGACATATCCATGTTTATCAACAAAATTCAGCCCAAAAGTGTGTGAGACATGGGGAAAAGGCAAAACATATTTGACAAAAGTTTTTGACACTAATATAACAAAATAAAATAACTAGTGCTGTCAAAAGATTAATCGCGATTAATCGCATCCAAAATAAAAGTTTTTGTTTACATAATATAGATGTGTGTATACTGTGCATATTTATTATGTATATTCGGTTAGAAATTCTCCTCAAATGTTTCCGTGTGATTCACGCATTGACTTTCTCCTGGAAAAGCCATATCTTTGCCTTCGGTGATCTGGTATGCGGTCGCAGGGATGTGAACTTTGCAAACAGACCCGAGGCAGCGAGCAATTCCTGGAGACCTGATCTTCAGCGTGACTCGGTGAGCTCAGGACCGTCAGAGCGTTTGACCTGTGCGGGTCACAGGCTGCGAGCAGTCGTCGCTTCAGTCGAAGTAAACCTGAGAATCCTGTGGCGAGTGCCCGCTTATATAGCCAGATGCCCCACCCATTCTGGTGGGCTTTGGCGGGATTCGTCGCCATAGGCTCATGCCGCTCCGCTGCCGCGCCATTGGTTCGTTTTTAAAGCCCTGCATGAACCAATGGCCGTGCAGTTTCACTGCGTGAATGAAAAAGGCTTTTTCCCCATATGCGTCTTAAGCAAGACGCAGTACTCGTTCCCGTATCTCAGGGAACCGAGGTTACGTTAGTAACCAAGTACGTTATTCACTGTAAGTATACGTTCTTTTTCACTTCCAAAAACGGTATACTGCTGTAACATTACATGTAATGTCCAATACAGTTTTTCACCGTATATAGTAGGGGAACTTACCGTTAACCATTTAACAGGTCTTTAATGTAGCATTTTTACAGTCTTTTACCGTTAAAATCATGGGCATTTTTTACAGTTTACATATTTATTTCTAACCAAACAACATCAGCACAACATCAATATTACTCTTAAAAGTTTTCAAACAAAATAAAGTCATTTTACTTGCTTTTTAATTTGCTTTTACTTGCAGATTAAAAAAGTGATCAGTTTTTCATGATGCAATGGTTCGTCAATAGGTGACATATCCATGTTTATCAACAAAATTCAGCCCAAAGTGTGTGAGATATATTTGACAAAAGTTTTTGACACTAATATAACTAAGTATTTTTTGGCGCCTAATGGTGCTCCATACATTCTGGGTCCAAAATGACCTGAACACAAAACATTGTTTGTTTGTTTGTTCATTCATTCATTCAAATGGTTATATCTCCTAAAAATATTTTAACAGTTATATCATTCAAAGGTTTGTTCCCTTGCTAAAAACTAATCTTTTTTTTTTTTTTTTTATGTATGTATGCATCTCTTCCGGGTCAAAATGGACCCGTGTGGGTTTATGAGGGTCAGTGCTGTAAATGATGCCTGGAAGCTCAGTCCTGATGAACGCCAGTGCTGTAACTGCATCTGAACGCTGTTTTTCAGATGGGAGGGATGGAGTCTGTGATCACGGGACTCATCGACGAATTCAAGTTCCTGCACAAACATCGTGAGCTCTTCACGCTCTTCATCGTGGTCTCCACGTTCCTCATCTCTCTCATCTGTGTCACGAACGTACGTGAGACACAAGCGCTCCTCTAATGAGCTTCCATCTGATTATGAAGAGTGTCTCGTGTGGGGTCTTGATCCGTTCTCGTCTCTCTGTCTCTCTGCAGGGGGGCATCTATGTGTTCACGCTGTTGGACCACTTCGCCGCCGGGACATCGATTCTGTTTGGAGTGCTGATTGAGGCCGTCGGCATCGCCTGGTTCTACGGTGAGGAGGAGTGCTGCTCCTGCATGTGCAGTGAAGCTGATGTGGCATTAGGAGCTGATGGTCTATCAGACGGCTGTGCTCCGGGGCCGCTGGCACTCATTAGGCTCCCAGAACTTGGATATCAGCCGAGGAACGCTCTTCACACAAACACCTATCAATCTGGCATTCGATTCTAACTCCAGATTGCCCATTTTGATCTAGTTTTGATCTAGCAAAGAAAATGTTTCTTATTTTCATTTAGTTTAATTTGATGTGCTAAAATAACTCAAACTAAAATTGAAAAAAAAAAATAATAATAATAATAATACAAACTGAAAAACTAACTTTAAAAAACAATGACTTGTAAAAACAACAAAACATATTTAAATATTTATTTCTAACAAAACAACATCAGTATTACTCTGAAAAGTTTGAAAACAAAATAAAATAAATTTTACTTGCGTTTTAATTTACTTTTACTTGCAGATGAAAAAAGTGATCAGTTTTTCATGCTGCAATGGTTCGTCAATAGGTGACATATCCATGTTTATCAACAAAATTCAGCCCAAAAGTGTGTGAGACATGGGGAAAAGGCAAAACATATTTGACAAAAGTTTTTGACACTAATATAACAAAATAAAATAACTAGTGCTGTCAAAAGATTAATCGCGATTAATCGCATCCAAAATAAAAGTTTTTGTTTACATAATATAGATGTGTGTATACTGTGCATATTTATTATGTATATTCGGTTAGAAATTCTCCTCAAATGTTTCCGTGTGATTCACGCATTGACTTTCTCCTGGAAAAGCCATATCTTTGCCTTCGGTGATCTGGTATGCGGTCGCAGGGATGTGAACTTTGCAAACAGACCCGAGGCAGCGAGCAATTCCTGGAGACCTGATCTTCAGCGTGACTCGGTGAGCTCAGGACCGTCAGAGCGTTTGACCTGTGCGGGTCACAGGCTGCGAGACACACGGGCCCCGGGCCCCGCTGGCCTTTCTGGAGGCTGCTTTACCTGCGCCTTTGGCCCTGAGCTCTGCTCTCGCTGTCTGCTGCGATCAAACGTCAAGCCTCGATCAAACCCTGCGGCCACACACTCACTGAGATCTGCTCTACAGGGCATTTGCTTCCAAGGATTCTGTTTTTTTCATCAAAACTCAAAGTGATATTGCTTCATGTGGAGCATGGCTTAATGCTGTCACTTTGTCAGTATTGCCATATTCACATGTTAAAATATGTTGTTTGGTCAAGTGCGTTTAAGAAGAAGGGACTGCAGGGGGAAGCTGTGATATTTATTGTTTTACTACTACAAATCCATATGCCAGTTTTGATATACCGTGATAAATATTTATACTGGCCACTACAGTTCAAAAATTTTTTTTTTTTTAAATAAATTAACACTTCTATTCATCAAGGATGCATTACATTTATAAAAAGTGACATTTATAATGTTGCAAAAATATTTCTATTTCAAATAGATGCTGTTCTTTTGAACTTTCTATTCATCTGTGAATCCTGAAAAAATAATTTGTATCACCGTTTCCACAAAAATATTGTGCAGCACGACTGTGTTCAACATTGATAATAATCAGAAATGTTTCTTGAGCAGCATATTATACTGATTTCTGAAGATCATGTGACACTGAAGACTGGAGGAATAATGCTGAAAATACAGCTGCGCATCACAGAAATACATTACAGTTTAATATACAGTATATTTAAATTGAAATCCATTATTTTAAATTATAATGATATTTCACATTTTTACTGTTTTTACTGTATTTTTTATTAAATAAATGCAGCCTTGATGAGCAGAAGAGACTTCTTTCTAAAACATTTAAACAGTCTCTGAGACACTGAACTAGACTTCTGAGAAAGGACAGCTCAGACATCACAAGATTCCAAAGTGTTACAGTTGTTGTTACAGTGGTTGAACAATTGTAACACTTGAAAAATTAGTTATATGAATCCATTATAGCGCCTGTTGCTTTTTAAATATTTGAAATTGGTTAAACGCATCGGCTGATATGTAGAATATATCTTCAATCAAAGATTTTGATGAAAAACAAATGTAATTTTAAACAGTCAGTTTCCAATTTAGTAAAACATTTTATAATTCATACCTGCTATTATAGTCCATCCTCACAGCTGCAATAACATCTTTGATTTTTGTGGTATCAATTCACCAACAACATCAATACATAGCATTCAGAGTTTGGATTCTTTGAAGAGCAGAAGACAAATAAGTGGCTCTGCATTTTCTTGATGCTGACCAGCATGTGTGTGTTCAGGTGTGGATCGCTTCAGCGATGATATCCAGGAGATGATCGGACAGAGACCCGGCCTCTACTGGAGACTGTGCTGGAAGTTTGTCAGTCCGTGTTTCCTCCTGGTGCGTTCACAGTCTCTCGGTCCAACACAACTCACATATCACCAATCATTCAGATACCATTAACCTGTGCCTGTTTCCTCTCCCCTGCACTCAGTTCATGGTTGTTGTGAGTTTCGCGACGTTCAATCCTCCGAAGTACGGCTCGTATTATTTCCCCACGTGGGCGACGATGCTGGGCTGGTGTTTGTCCATCTCCTCCATGATCATGGTGCCGCTCTACGCCATCTACAAGTTCTGCTCTCTGCCCGGAAGCTTCTGTGACGTGAGTATTTCATATTCATCAATATGCAAAACAATTTATCAAGATGAATTAAGTCAAGCCACATGAACTTCTATAGCGCTTTATACAAACGCTGTTTTGAAGCAGCTTCACAGTAATAAAGCAGCTTTAAGCAGCTCCACAGAAGACAATAGAGTCATTATTCAGATCAATTCAGTTCAAATTGCATTCTCATCCAATAGTGTCAGTGCCGTTGAATCAATAATATTACTGAACAACAATATTGCATTGCATTGGACTAAAACTTACTGACTTTGCTCACACATGGTATAAAAAAAAACATTATTTGTGGATAATTTTGCCAATCTTCACTCAAAAACTGAGGTGCATAAGCTCAGATCAATGATAAATAACATAATGAGAGATTTACAAGCAATTTTGGTCACACTTTATTTTAAGGTCCAGTTCTTACTATCGACTATGACTTTTGCCTCAACAAACTCCTAAATTGCTGCTTATTAATAGTCAATAAGGTATTAGGTATGGGGTTTAAGCATTAAGGGGTCTAAAATATGGTCACGCAGAATCAGGCATTAATATGTGCTTTATAAGTACTAATAAACAGCCAGTGTGCTACAGTAGTCAATTGCAGTGAGAATTTTTCCTTAAAATAAAGTGTTTCCGCATCATTTTTTGACCAGGAAGACCACATTTCAGCACAGCACAAGGGTTAAACATTCATCACTGCACAGAAATCATACTGCATGCATGATGGCTTTGGTTATAGTGATGTCCCTGCGTTTGTCTGGTGGTTTCTGTGTGAATGTGCTGCTGGATTATCTCGGCAGAAACTGGCGTACGCCATCACTCCTGAGACTGAGCATCACCTGGTGGAGCGTGGAGAGGTGCGACAGTTCACGGTGAGCATCATGGGTGCTTTCATGTGTACGGCCGAACAAGGAAGATTACATAAATTTAATGGGTGAACTTTCAATTATGCTAAACGTGACATTTTACTGCACCGTTATCACAGTCGATCCTCGGCGCAGATATGGTGTGATTGTTCTGGCTTCACTGATGTTGAAGTCTTCAGTGATTTATTCAGTGATTATTTTCGGCTTGTGTTGTGAAGAGCGCTGTATGAATATGACTTGTTTCTCACAGCTTCATCACTGGCTGGTGGTTTGAGGTGATGATGATGAAGATGATGATGATGGCACACGAGGACTGGAGCGCCGACAGAAGCGTATTACTAGTTGTTTCTTTCTTGCATAATCGAACATGTGGCTGTTTCGTGACTTGGATCACAGTGTGTCAGTATCAGTTTTACTCTCAGTATACGATGACTGTTATGATGGCTGATGTTGTCCTCACTGACTGTTTGTTTGTTTCTTTATTATATATCTTCTGTTTGTGGTCAGAGTTCAACGGAGCCTTATTGATAAATGTGGTTGACGTGTCAAAAGACATCTTTAGCAACACTAATGTTTAGAGACGTGTAAATAGTGCTATTGCAAAAAATATATAAATCTATCCTCTCTGTGTTTGAGAAGTGCCAATGCATTTATGACTGAACAAGTTCAATTGATCACAACACAACTCTTTCATTGTCATGCTTTCAGTATCGATCATATGATGCATAAGAGATATCCTCATCCAAGACTTTAGGTCGGACGAAGGTTAAACCGTTGGTCACTACATGTTTGCAGAGCTGCAGAAAATCAATCTGTAGGAAACAGCATGCAGTGGTTATTTTGTTTGCCAACATCTCCGCATTTAATCCATGCAGCGGTTAACCTTCCAAACCAATAAAACACAGCAGCATTTATAGGATTTCTGTCGCACTGAATGTTGTCATCTACAGCTGTATTACTGGACTATCAGAGATTTATTTACATGAAAGGTTATTATGAATATTTCAAGTCTTTACATTTAATGATTTCAGTGCCTGCTGAAATTTGTCAACTACTGAAATGTCAATAAAAAGTGTTTATGAAATAAAAATGAATTTGATTGTTTTTTAAATAACAGTAATGCACTTTGCATGTTGTTGGGGTCAATATTTGTGTAAGAGAAGAGCTGGTTTTAATGGTGTGGTCATATTACAATATCTCAAAACAAGAGGCAATGATGTGGATAAAACCAGTGTCCAGTTTCTAAAACTAATTCATCTTAGGATATTTTATTCTACTGCATAAACAGTCCATAAACAGTCTGTAATCTGTAAAAAATAAAGACCTCAAGCACATTGGTCTCCTAATCTATATGTCGTATGTTGTGAAACATTATAACAAATTCAGAACCTGTTCTGCCAACAGTGTCTGTGTGAATGACCACAGCAAATCATTTCAATCAGTCTGTAAAAACGTGCAAACGTTACCAGGTTTACCAGCGTTTCATGGTCATGACAGGAGCTGAAAGGAAAACTGTCTTGCCCCACATACTTCTATTAAAAGATCATTACTTTCAACATGGTTTTTGCTTGTTTCTGTTCATGGCAATCAACAGCATGTCACAGATGCTGTCAATATTGTTTAACTTGTATTGAATCCAGAATATTGTCAATACTGTTCACAAAGTTCAAATTAAACTTTTTTTTTCTCCATATTAAAGGAATAGTTCACCCAAAAAGGAAAATATGCTGTGAATGTGTTCACCCTCAGGTCATCCCAGATCAGGATGAGTTTGTTTCTTCATCAGATCTAGAGAAATGTAGCACTGCATCAGTGTCTCAGCAATGGATTCTCTGCAGTGAATGGGTGCCGTCAGAATGAGAGTCCAAACAGCTGATAAAAACATCACAATAATCCACAGCACTCCAGTCCATCAGTTAACATCTGGAGAAGACAAAAGCTGAGACAAACCCATCATTAAGACGTTTTTAACTAAAATACGAGTCCATAATCCATAATAACTCTTCCTCCAGTGAAAAAGTACATCTCATGTTGTCTCTCACAACAAAATCCAGCCACATATGTGTTTAGAGCTGTTTAAACGCTGCTTGATCTGTGCAGATTTCTCTCCTGATTCACACCAGACAAGTGCTATTATGTAGCATATATTTGTAACAAGGAGTTGAATTTGAAGCTTTAGCTATATGGAGTTTGCACAAGACTAGATAATGATCAGTGATATCCTCGCTCTGCTGCAGAATTTTAAACGCCATAAACATCAATTCCATGTGACAGTATTAAATCTAGAGTATGATTTCTACAGTGAGTAGGTCCTGAGACGTGTTGTATAACCCCAATAGAGTTCAGAATGTCTATGAATGCTGATCCCAATGCATCTTTTTCATTATCAACATAGATATTAAAATCACCAACAATTAAAACTTTATCTGCATCCAGCACTAACTCGGATATAAAATCAGCACATTCTTTAATAAAGTCTGTATGTGCCCTGGTGGCCTGTATACACTAGCCAGTACAAACATCACAGGGGATTTATCATTAACACTGGTTTCTCTGGATAATGTTATATGAAGCACCATTACTTCAAACGAGTTATACTTGAAGCCCGCCCTCTGAGAAATACTGAAGATGTTGCTATAAACTGCAGCAACACCTCCCCCTTTGCCTTTCAGACGTGACTCATGTTTATAACAGTAATCTTGGGGGATAGACTCGTTTAAAATAATGTAATCATCAGGTTTTAGCCAGGTTTCTGTCAAACAGAGCACATCTAGGTTATGATCAGCGATCATATCATTTACAAAAAGTGCTTTCGTTGAAAGGGATCTAATATTCAGTAAGACAAGCTTTATCATTTGTTTATCCGTATTACGTCTGTTTTTTATTTGTTGAACATCAGTTACATTTTTACCCATAAATCGGTTTGGTTAGAGAACATTTTGATCTGCACATGCTTTGACAGTAAGTGTTCTTGCTCATGATTGTGTTACACAGCACTCTTTATTTCCAGGTAAGTCATCAACATCACCAGAAAGACCAGTTGTGATCAGCAGCAATGCTCCAGCAGATAAACCAGCACCAAACCAGCTCTAACCAGCATAAACCTGCCTGTCCTCACATGGAAACTAAGCCGGTCTTTTCAGCAGATATCATGCTGCACAGCAATTCACTCAGATACACCTGTATCTGTTTAGAAAAATTACCACTTAAACATTCATACATTTAATTCGGTTGATACGTCATTAAGTTTTCACTCAAATTATTATGCTGATATAATCTGCCTCCGCTTGCAACACAGGCCCACACATCTCAGTCTTTTTCCTCCCGCTACTAATAACCCCTTTTTCCTTTTCAGTGGCCTCCAGCTCCCATAGCAGGCACTAGCGTGAGGCTGCCTCCGCTCGCATCACAGACCAACAAATCGCTTTCTTTTCCTTAATTTATTTATTTTCTCATACGCTTCTGTGTTTCCCATCTCAGGCCCAAGAGGCCGATATTAAGCGTGAGGCTGCCTCCCCCAACAATTGCGGTCCCTGCTCCTCTCCCTCACAGCTCTCTACTTCATTTAAAATCACAATATTCTCTTTTACAGCAACTTCATTGCCCGTCCCACCGAATGCTGTTGCCTCGGAGCCACCTGCAGTGAGCACAGACCCCTCATCTAAGGCCGTCACTAACGATTAATTGGGTAACAGAGTTGTCGGTTTATTATTCTGATGATTAATCGGATAATTACAATTTATATTTATGGTAGAAAAATAGGCCTAATTAAAAAATAGCCTTTAAAAATTACCTGAAATATATACATAATAGCAATGAGGCCATAATACTTGGTCCAAATAAAGTATCAAAAGCAAGTAACCATTTGGTTCTGTTGAACAAATCTTAACATAATGTATTATAACTTTACCTTTCCATCTTACATTCGGAGATGCTTACCCATTCGATGCCGTGAGTATTGAGCTCCCATCGGATGTCGGCAAGAGCTAGACAACCTTACCTTTTCCATTCTACGGTCAGCGAGGCTTACCCGTTCGATGCTGTGTGCACCCGCCGAACGCTGTCCGAACCCTCTCAGCTAGCCTCACGTCTTCCCCCCCGCCTGGCGAGGCTTACCCATTCAATGTTCTGAGACTGATACCTCATCGGATGCTGCGAGAGCCCTCCCAGTCGGGTTTTTCTTTACTCTCTCCCCGCCTGGCGAGGCTTACCCGTCTGATGCAGTGAGTGTTTATTATTCTGATGATTAATCGGATAATTACAATTTATATTTATGGTAGAAAAATAGGCCTAATTAAAAAATAGCCTTTAAAAATTACCTGAAATATATACATAATAGCAATGAGGCCATAATACTTGGTCCAAATAAAGTATCAAAAGCAAGTAACCATTTGGTTCTGTTGAACAAATCTTAACATAATGTATTATAACTTTACCTTTCCATCTTACATTCGGAGATGCTTACCCATTCGATGCCGTGAGTATTGAGCTCCCATCGGATGTCGGCAAGAGCTAGACAACCTTACCTTTTCCATTCTACGGTCAGCGAGGCTTACCCGTTCGATGCTGTGTGCACCCGCCGAACGCTGTCCGAACCCTCTCAGCTAGCCTCACGTCTTCCCCCCCGCCTGGCGAGGCTTACCCATTCAATGTTCTGAGACTGATACCTCATCGGATGCTGCGAGAGCCCTCCCAGTCGGGTTTTTCTTTACTCTCTCCCCGCCTGGCGAGGCTTACCCGTCTGATGCAGTGAGTCTTGATCTCCCGTCAGATGTCGGCGAGAGTACTCCCGGTTGGGCTACTATACTTGCCGCCCGCAAGCGAGACTTATCCGTCCGATGCCGTGAGTCTTGATCTCCCATCGGATGTCACAAGTGTCCTCCTTGCCGGATGGCCCAAAGCCTTTTTATCTGCCAAACCGAGAGGACCCACACGTCCGTCGTCCTGAGCCTTGATCTCCAGTCAGAGGCTTCATGGGCCCTCTCGGTCAGCCATTTTGCCCTCTGCCCACTGATTAGCAGGGGCCTGTCAGCCAGTAGGGCCCGTACGCCAACACCGCGAGCTGTTCCAGTCGAGGCAACTCGGGCCCTCCTGGTAGGGCTATACAATCACGCTGCTCCTCCCCCATCGGCCGGTAGGCCTCACCTGTTCCAACGCTGTGAGCTCCCGTTGAGCATCGGCTCGAGCCCTCCCGACCAGGTGCCCCAAACCACGTAGTCCAATACCAGCAGCCGGTAGGGCCTACCCTTCCAATGCACAAGTCGCCCTCACCTGAGTGCGTAGGCTCTTCCCGCTTGCCAACCAGGCGACTTCTCAAAACATCAGCCCCCGCCAGTTCTCAGTGCTTATTTTGGGGGGGTTCTTATTCTGGCGGCTGTCCTTTGCTCAATTGCTTTTTTGGGGGGTACTCTAGGTTCGGGCCATTCCCATGCTCGGAGCCCTCGGAACCATACTTCAGCTAATTTTATGTAAGCATGAACTCGTGAAGATATTGTTAAATGCAGGTGCTTAGTGAATAAGACACATTTTTGAGCATTTGGGCTGGAGTAGCTGTACTGTTAAACTACTGTAGAAAATGAACAAGCTGTTTCACGGTAGGCAAACTCATGCACATCAAGTCATTCTCCTTCTCAGAACCGAGACAATGAGTCCGTACTCTGATTGCTGATTGTTGATAATCCATTTTTCTGGCTGGCATATTTTCTGAGACGTTTTGGCAGTCAATAAACCATCAGATGGAAAGGTCGGATAAATACATAACAAATCATCCAGCACTTAATAAAGGAAAAGTAGAGGCCTCTGTGAACTTATAGGTAAATTATTGTTTTGGCCTTTCTGGAGATGACTTGTGTGTTCCTGAATCCTGCTTGTTGATTATGTGCGAGGGCCTCAATCTGAGGAAGATTTCCCAGCGCAAACACACACCTGAGGACAGATGGGCAAATCGGATCGCTTCAG